CCCCCCCCCGGACGCGTCCTTCCCCCGGCGACGCGCGGTTGCCGCTTGGGCCGCTCGTCGTCGGTCCCCGGGGCATGGCGGCCACCCGGCCCGGCGGACATCGCCGCCACCGGGCCCCGGGCCCGAGAGAGGCCCGGCGGACCGGGGCCGGGGAATCTGCTCCCCCGGGCGCGTGCAGGCGCCGCCGCGCGCAGGCGCGCGTGCCTCAGCAATCTCCCGCCCTGCGCCCCCGTCCAGGGGCGGGAGGGGAGGGGGAACGGGGACGGGAGCATTCCTCCGGCCGGGGCGTTCGTGGCAGGACCCCCGGAGCTGGATTTCGGCGGCGAGGGGCGCCCCCGGGGACGCCGACGCCGACGCCGACGCCGACGCCAACACGGACGCCGACAGTCGTCACCGCCACCCGGCGAATCCGGCGGGAAGGGCCACACCGGCCGCCGGGCTGAGGCAGCGCAACAGCGTACCAATTATTGGCCGGCCAAAATCCGGACAATAATAACTCCCCCATTATCATCTTCCGGGACACGAATCCGCCCGCACCCGGCCCCGATGGCCAGGCCCGGGCATGCCTGTTCGCGGCCAAGCGCGTGGCTCAGCATCGCGCGCGGCCCCTTCCTGGTAATCTAGCCGCGCCGGCGCGGCCCTGCCCGGCCCTGCGCGGCCCTGCCTGCCCGACCCGGAGCCCGGAGCCCGGAGCCCGGAGGAACAAGGGGGCAGGCAGGGATTTTCACGCCTCTCGCCCCCCTCTTCTGACTCTCCCCGGCCCCGACTCCCCAGCATTGGGGGCATCCATTACGCCACCGCCACAGGCAGGGAGGGCGGCGGCCACCCGGCTGCAGGCCACGCCCGCCCGCCCGCCACCTCAGCCAGGCCCGGAAGGGGACTCTCGAGACGCGCCCCTCTGCCCCCCGGGCGCCTCGTTCTTGCCGTGCCCAGAGGCGCCCCATGAGGGCCGCGGAGAAGCAACAGCGACAGCGATCCCCTCCCCCCCCCCCCACACACACACGCACAGTCGCACAGCCGCCCGCTCCGAGCACCCCCCCGCCACCAGCGCACCCGCGGTGTGTGTGTGTGTGTGTGTGGAAGGGGGAGGGCCTGCACTGCGCACCTCAGTCGTATATAAGCGAGACCAGCCAGGCCACTGGGGGCTAGCCCCGAGGAGATAGACCTCCCGGCCTCAGTCCCCTTTCCCCCTGTCGCCTGCACACCCCCTTCCCCCCCCCCCTCCCGGTCAACACACCACCACTCAACGGCATAGCCGCAGCTGTTGCCGCCGCCACCGCCGTCCCCACCGCCGCCGCCGTCTGTTCCTTCCCCCCTTCTGAGGTCCCGCCGCCCAGCTCCCGGACCCGCAACTTCGCACGCACGAGAAACATGACCTACTTCTCGCAGCACCTCGTGCAGACCTTCTGCGTCTTCTTCTTTTCCATCGTCAACCTCGTCCTCTCGCCGGTGCTCTTCTTCCTGGAGCGCCGCCGCGCGCAGAAGATCATCGCCCGCCGGAATCCCGCCGGTTTCACGTACGTCCCGATCCCTTGGTTTGCCACTCGCCCGCCTTGCTTTCCTGGCCCGCCCCCTCCCTCGCCCCGGCCCAGCCCCGGGGCACATGGCCGCTTGGCTGTCGTAGATCTCTCGCACGCATCCCGGCCCCTCCCTCCCCTCCTGGGGCCGGGTGTTCCCTTTTCTGGCGACACGGCGACCAAGGGGCCCAGCATCGCCGGCGGCTCCGGCGATGTTCCCCCCTTCTCCCGTTGCCACGCGATCGCGACCACCAGGGTGCCATGTCCCCCGGCGGTGTAGGCCGGCGAGCGAGCTGGGACGGAGAGCAGGGAGGGGGGGGGGGAGCGCGCGCGCGCGTGCATGCCTGTGACACGCCATCTGGTCCCTCTCCGGGCCCTCTGTCCGAGCGTGTGTCTACGTGCGCCACGACACACCCAGGGCGGCCGGCACGGCGTTGTGACAGGCGAAGGCCTCAGCTGCGCGCGCGCGCGCGCGCTCTCCCCCCCCCCCCCCCTCCCCCCACTCTCTTCACATGCCATCTCTCCTCCCTCCCTGCACAGGAGGGACCCATGCCCGCGCAACGCACGTCGACAAGGAAAGAGCCAAAGAGAGAAGGACAGAAGGAGGATCCAGATAGAGAGAGAGAGAGCCCTGCCATGTGTGCGGGGCTCCATTTCCTCCCTCGAGCGCCGACGCATTCCCCTGCTCTGCCGCCTTCCCCCCCCCCCCCCCCCCCCCCCCCCCCCCCCCCCCCCCCCCCCCCCCCCACAGCGCAACGGTGTGTCTCCCCCCTTACTCTCCGCGCATCTTTCGTGCGCGGGGAAGGGGGGCGCGCGTAGCCCAGGGACGTCAGGGGGAGAAAAAAAGAAAAGAAGAGAAAGCCCCTTCTCGCCCCTCCCCCCGCCGCCGCCCCGTCCCTCACGTCGGTGGTGATCGGGGAAGTGATCGGAGCAGTGTCGTGTGGGTGTCACGTGACGTCACATGCCCGCGCATGCCACTTTCTCTGGCCAACGCGCGCGGGCGTACGCATGTACACACGCGCGCCCGCCTACGCGCCTGCTTCTCGCTTCTGGCTTCTCGTCTTTTTTTTTTTTTTTTCCTTCCCTCTCGTTCCCCGTCGGCTCCTGCGACTCCGTGTGTGTGTGTGTGTGTGTGTGTGTGTGTGTGTGTGGCCGGGGGCGACGGGCCCCGTTTCTCGCCCGGGGGAGGGGAGCCGGCTATAAAAGCCGACATGCCCGGGCCCGCTCTCCCCCCGGAGTCCTGGGCACTGGGAACGGGCGTGCGGCTGCGCTGCCCTCGGCTGTTCCTCTTTCTCTCCCTCTTGTGACTCCCTTCCTCGTCTTCGACAAATGCGCCGCGTGCTTCCTCCTTCGTATGCGCCCCACTGCGCCCCCCGTCCGTTTGTCTGCGCGCGCGCCCCCTCCTCTCACGCGTGGGCCGGCCCGCGCAGGCGACGGCGACGGAGCAGCGAGGCGGAGGCGGAGAGACAGCATGTGTCCCACAAACCTGACCGCGCCCACGAGGCAGCGATCTTCGACCCCCCCCCCCTCCTCCCCCCTCCAGATGGATGTGTCATACTTACCTATGGTGTTGGATTCCCCTCCCCCCCGGGGCTGGTGCGCGCATGCGCCTGCGTGTCTGTGCATTTGCACACACACACACACACACACACAGCTCCATCTTCATCACCGGCGCCGGGAATGGCATCGGCCGCGAGCTGGTCCGGTCGTACGCCCGGCCCGGGGTCCACCTGTCCATCATCGACATGAACAAGGAGGCCCTGGCCAATGCGGCCAAGGATGCCACGGACCGCGGTGCCACCGTCACCTCGGAGGTGGTGGACGTGCGCGATGCCCAGGCCATGCGGGAGTTCATCCTGGCCGCCGACGCCGAGCACCCCATCGACCTGGTCTTCGCCAATGCCGGCATCGCGGCCATGTCCAGCAACACCGACCCCAAGTACACCCTGCATGACTCCTTCACCGACATCACCCAGGTCAACTGCCAGGGCGTCTGGAACACCATCTTCCCGCTGGTGAGCAACATGTGCGACCGCAGCGGCCGCGCCGGGGCCTTCTCCTCGCAGGTGGTTCTCATGTCCTCGCTGTCGGCCATGATGCCGATTTTCAGCGCCCCGGACTATGCCGCCGGCAAGGCCATGGTCTGCTCGGCCGGCCGGTCCCTGCGTCGGTACTGCGAGATTTACAATGTCGGTGTGACGGTCATCACCCCGGGCTTCGTCCGGACCTCCCTCATCCCCCAGAATGTCGAGCTGCCCATGCTGCTCGAGGTGGGCCATGTACGTGTCACCCTCCTCTCTTCTCCCTCCCCCCCCCCTCGCCGCGCACGCACCTCCACATATGTGGGGGCAATGTCATGCGCAAGGATGATCCAACATTACCTACTTTGCCTGAGAACATCACTGCTGAGAAATATTTGTTGCTGAGTCCATGACATTTTGCTGCCCAACATGCATGCTCCACCCCCCCCCTCCTCTCTCTCTCTCTCTGCTGACACCGCCGCCCCCCCTCCCTCCCACCCCCTCCTCCCCCCAGGCCGTCTCCAACATTGTCACCGGTGTCGAGCGCAATGCCGGCCTCGTGGCCTTCCCGAACATGGTGTACTTCGTGACCTCCACCCTGGGCGGCATGTCGGACATCGGCTTCGACACCCTCAGCAAGAAGGCCAACCTCCTGAGCGCCGGCATCGCCCGGCGCTTCTTCCCGGCTGGCTGGTCCGCCGACAGCCCCCCGACCCCGGTGGCCCTCAGCGACGGGACCACCGGCACGGGCACCGGCTCGGCCTCCGCCTTCATCACCAGCGGCTGGAGCAACTTCCAGCAGAAGGCCAAGGCCGGCGTGGTCAAGGCCGGCTCCAAGCTGGATTAAGCAGCAGCAGCAGCAGCAGCAGCGCACATGCTTGTGTGACGCGCCCCTTATCCTTTTTGTTCTCCCTCTCTTTTTTGAAACGCCGCCCGCGCGCCGCTGTGTGGTGCCATCCTCCTCTTCCTCTCCCCCCTCCCTCCCCTCTCTCTCTCTCTCTCTCTCTTCTCGTCAGAAAAAAAAAGCTGGCGCCCGGGAGACGCCGCATCTCTCTCTCTCTCTCCACATGGAGCGAGCGCGCGCGCGCAAGAGAGAGAGAGGCAAGGCGGGAGAAGGAGGAGGGGGGGACAAACAGCGAGGCGCGCGGGACGGGGGAAAGGGCACGCGCGCGTGCTGCAAAACGCGCCTGCGCCGGCCGGCATCGGCGGGGGGGACCCTAGTTGCTCCGTGCCCCTCCTCTCTCTCTGCCCCCGTGTGCATGCGCGCCCGCGCGCCGGTCTCTCTCCCTCCCTCTTCTTCTCTCCCCGCTGCGTCTGCCACGCGCGCCCCTCCTCCCCCCCTCTCCAAGAATAATACATTTGTCCTTCTCCTTTGTTCCAACCATATCCCCCCTTTCTGTGTGCGTGTGTATAAGGCGAGACGCGTGTGGTGCCGGGCCTTCTGGTGGGTCTCTCGCCCTCTGTTGCATGGGAGCGAGCGGGGGGGGGGGGGGGGCGAGTGCACAGGTCACACGAAGGAGAGACGACACGCCCATCGTGCATCTATCTATATTTTGTTGCGGGCTTTCTTTTTTTTTTTTCCCCGGCCGCCTGGACACGCGCACGAGGAGAGAGGGCGAAAAAAAAAAAGAACACGCGGAAGGCACAGGCAAACCGGTGCTCCCTCGCCGGAGGCGGGAAGGCGCAGGCCTAAAAGGGCTGCTGCGGGCGGATGCCACGCCACGCGCCATGCGCCGACGACCCGGCCAAGCCCCCTCCTCCCCGGGCCGAAGTCGGCCCATAGTACTCGCCATCCTCCTCTTCATCGGCATCCTCCTCGTCGGAAATGAAGTCATCCGAATACAGCTCCTCCTGGCGGCGAGCGGCGCTCACCCGCGAAAAGAGCCGCCGGTCCGAGTCGCTCAGCTCCCCATCGTCGTCCTCGGAGGAGAGGGAATAGCCCACGCGCAGGGACACCCGGCCGCCGGCCGCCATGCCGGCCAGCTGCGAGAAGTCCGGCCCCGAGGCCAGCCCGGCAGACCCGGCGTCCACGGCCCGCCAGACAGCCGGGTCCACCGGCGCCACCAGCTGCTGGCCCGGCTGCATGCCGGGGCCACCGGCCCCGGCCCCGGCCCCGGCCCCGGCCGCCCCCTCGGCCCACAGGATGCTGACGTCCCGATCGGAGGAGAGCGCACGCGATGCCGGGCTGGCCGTGGCCGAGGCCGGCCGAGAGCCCAGCCCCAACCGGTCCATGAGCTGGGCCAGGTCCTCGGCCCGGCGAGTGGCCTCGGCCTCGTCGGCCCGGCGCCGAGCCAGGCGCTGGTCCCGGTGGCGCCGGGCCACCTCCCGCTCGCCGTCATCCGAGAAGTCCGAATAGTCCTCATCTCCGGCGGCATACCGGAAGCCGGATGGCCCGTGCGTCCGGCAGTCGTCCCCGGCCTCCTGGCGTCGACACAGCCACGAGGCCGAAGCCGACCAGTAGGCCGGCGGCGCATCCGAGCAGGCGCCCCCGTCGACATCGCTGTCGCCATCTTCGGACATGGCCGCCCCCGGGTGATGGCGGTGCCGGTGGCCGCCCCGGCGGCCGGGCCGCGAGGCAAACTCATTGGCCTCCATGTCCATCGCCATGCCCCCATAGGGGGTCCCCTCTCCGTCGGAGGAGGACCCGGACCAGCTGCCATCCGAGTCCGAGGAGTCGTCGCCATACTGGCGTCGCGGCTGCCGGTACGTCGAGAAGGAGGCCGCGCCATAGTTTTCCTCCTCGTCGGAGTACCCGCCGATGGTCTGTGATGATGGCGTTGGTGGTGGTAGGGGGGGGGGGGGGGGGGGGAAGAGTGAAAGAGTGTAGATCCCCCCCCTCCCCCCTGGAGATCTTGCATGGTGTCCACCAAATACATGTGCTTGGCCTCCTGCTCTTCCAGCCAAGAAAGC